TCGGTCTCGAACCCGCGGGCTCAGGCAATCCACTCACCTCAGCCTCCCAAAGGCGCGGGATTACAGGCTGAGCCACTGAGCCCGGCTGGGGTTGGTCTTTACACAGCAACCTCAGCGAGGGCCTGGTGGGGAAGGCGTGGGAGACCAAGAGTTAAGGTTCCTGCTGTGGTGCTTTGCGACATTCTCATACGACATTGGGTCTGTCAGACACTACATGAGAAAGAAAAGCCGATGAAGGTGCAGGACCTGCACCTGGGCCTGGCTGGTCCTGTCCATTCCAGCTTCTGGGACCTTGGCCTCCCCTCCCTTGCCAGGTTGGGGTCTCCATGTGGCTCAGGTTGACCTTGGCCTGGGGACGAAGCTGGCTGGGATGCTGGCCAGGTCATCTCCCTGTGGACACCTGAGGGGTGCCCAGTGTGTGTTGGAGTTCAGCCTCGGTTGAGAGGAGAGTTTCTAAGCGACTTGTTTCTCTTTTCTCACAGAACCTTGATGGCTCCTGTCTGTCCCTCAGTCTACTGCCTCTGTCCGTCAGGTGCCCCCAGATACCCCCTCAGGCTCCTGGAGAGCCCTAGGCCAGGAGTCGCCCTTGCCCTCAGGGTCTTGGGCACTGAGGATATCACCAACCCCAGCCCTGACTTCTCTGTCCCTCCTGACCTTGTCAGCTTGTCCCTCAATATCCCACAAGAATTCACAAGGTGCCTAGCACATGCCAGTACAAGGAGGTAGAGCTGGGCTCCGAGGTCCTCCACCAGGAAGGGAGCAGAGACACAACACCATCCATAAAAGTGCCCACAATGGGCAGGTGGCCTTGGCATGGGGCAGAGGTGGACTGGGGAGACTGAGGGTGGTGGATGGGGTCTGTCAGGCTCTGCACACCTTTGCAAACCTTAATCAGATTGGACTCACCGGTGTCTCCTGGTCCACATCGAGTTTTGCCTGGTGTTTGCTTTTTATCACAGTAACTGCTACAAACCTAACTTTGCAAACCACTGAACCAGATCCTAGTGATCCTCTGCTTGGTCGGGGATGTCCCCGGCAAGTTCCTGTCTTGCTTCTGTATCCTGGGTCCCTATCACTGCCCTTGCCCGTTTCTGGCATTTGTAGGTCTGCTGGTTGCATAGGTGTCATATAGTTCTCCATTCGACCTACACTTCTCTGAAGACCGAACATGACCACCTTTTCTTTTTTTTTTTGAATTGGAGTCTCACTCTGTCGCCCAGACTGGAGTGCAGTGGCATGCACCCGGTCGCTGCAGCCTCGACCTGCTAGGCTCTGGTGATCCTTCCGCCTCAGCCTTCCAAGGAGTTGGAACTACAGGCGTGCACTTCCACGCCCTGCTAATTTTTTATTTTATTGTAGAGACGAGGTTTCGCCAAGTTGCCCAGGTGGGCCTTGAACCCATGGGTTCAGGCAATCCACTTGCCTCAGCTTCCCAAAGTGCTGGGATTACTAGCTGAGCCACCAAGCCTGGCCTACTTTTTCACGCATTTGCATGGGGGTTTGGGTTTCCCTTTCTGTCAACTGCCTGGTCATATCCTCTGACTGCTTTTCTTTGGGGACTATTGTCTTTTTAAAATTGGTGGAACGTGGTGGCTCATGCTTGTAATCCCAGCGCTTTGGAAAGCTGAGGTGGAAGGACTGGTTGAGCCCAGGAGTTCGAGACCAGCCTGGGCAACATAGTGAAATCTTGTCTCTACAAAAAAATTAGGTGGGCATGGTGGCATGCGCCTGTAGTTCCATCTACCTAGGAGGCTGAGGCAGAAGGATTGCCTGAGCCCAGGAGATCAAGTCTGTGGTGAGCCATGGTTGTGCCACTGCACTCCAGCCTGGGTGACAGAACAAGAACCTGACTAAAAAAGAGAAAAATGGACTTGCTGAAACTCCTTGAAAATCCGAAATATGAATCCCTTGATGGTTTCACACACTATAAATTTCTTCTCCCATTCTGTCATCTGGCTAAAAACTTGCCTGTGAGTTCCCAGAAAATTTTATTTTTGTTATAATCAAATTCATTTTTCTCTTGCCTGTCAGTTCTTCTAACTTTGTTGCAGACACACATCCCTCTCCCGGTCACTTCGGCATTTCCTTCTTTCATTTTGGTGTCTATCATTCATGTTTGAGTCCTTCCAGGGCCGCCTCTGCCAGTGGTGTTACCTAGGAATCCAGGTTTTTTTCGGTCCCTTCCGTGTGGGTGTCCTACATCACCCTCCCATCTAGTCCAGTGGTCTGTCCCTGTACCAATGCCACATTGCTTTGATTACCACGTGAGTCATCCGGGTACAACTGGAGCAGCAGAGCCAGTGGGATGACATGGGAAAGGACTTACTGAGGCAGAAATGAGAGAATTATCTGAGCCCATGGGTTCAAGACCAGCCTGGGCAACATGGTGAGAGCTCATCTCTACAATAAATTAAAAAATTGGCCAGGCGTGGTGGTGCACACCTGTAATTCCAGCTACTTGGAAGGCTGAGGCAGAAGGATTGCCTGAGCCCAGTAGGTTTGAGGTTGTGGTGGCTGTGAGTGTGCCACTGCACTCCACCCTGGGCAACAGAATGAGACTCCGACTTAAAAAAAAAAGAAGGAGCTTCCTGCTTGTTGCTGCCGACATAGAGGATGCTGTGATTACTAGAGCTTACCTCTGGCCATCTAGCTGATGTATCCCCTCAACCATGGTAACAGTGGGCATTCTTGGTCTCATCTTCCAGGGCAGGTTTCTAAAGTTT